ACCTTTTTTCTTGTAGTAGGCTCTTTTTACCCTGCCTAGTTAATTTTAACCCTCTAGTATTTCCTTATAATAAGCTAGTTATAACTAGGCAGCAGTAATACGCGACTTTTTCTGTAGTTAGCTGCTATATAATAATGCGAGATTCTAACTTTAGCCGTAACTAGGCTGCCTTTATTAAAAACTAGAGAAACAAGCTTTTATAGCTTATAGAGGATATTAAGAGTAACGTAAGGCTTGCAGCGTATTAGGAAAAGTTCCTTAAAAACTGTAGTTACTAGTAGTATAATAACTAGAAAATGTAGCTTCTTAAGATAGTTAACTTAGTGCGTAAGTAGACGTAAGCAGTAAAGCAAGCAATAAAGCAAAAAAGCAAGCAATAACAATTTAGATATACTACAGACAATAGCTTGCGCAGGCAAAAGAGAGGAGCAAGGAAGTAGTTAAGCGTTTAGGCTAACATTGCAGGAAAAGTTGTTGTTATTATTATTATTATTATTATTATTAGCGTTGCTATTGTTGCCTAAAGGCCTAGTGTTAGTTAGCTACTTAGTAGTTTAATGTTACGCCAGACATTCGGACATGTGCTTAGAGGCCGTTAAAAAAAACAGCGCCTTAGCAGTTAAAGTTACGTTGTCAGGGGTTAAAAGTTTATTGCTTAGCAATTCTAAAAATAAAAGTACGCAATATACAGTAAAAATACTAATAACGTAAGCTATTAATAACACATTAGGTCCTGTCTTCGCGGGGGTCTTTTTCTTATATTAGAAAATGTAGGAGTAACCCTATTAATAATATCTAAATTATTATTAGAATTACTACTTTCTATACTATTATTTATATTATCTATATTATCTATATTATTTATATGATTTATATTATCTATATTATTATTGTTTATATTATTTATATTGCTATGTTTATAATTATAGTAGGATTTTAAATTACTAGTATTTATAGGCCAATTTACTATAACAGAATATTCACAACTAGAGCATTTTATATTTATTTTTCTTTTTTTTTCTCCTTCTATATAAGGTAATAATTCTCTAGTAAATAATCTATTTCTAAATATATTAGAACTATTTTCTAAAGAAGGTAAAGTAA